ATAAAAAGAAGCAGGGATAAGGTGGAGTTCCAGCAGGCCGTGCTGCTACGTCACGTGTTGCCACTGCTGGTGTATCTGTAACGGTCTATACAGTATTCGGGAGGTCCTCGGTTCGTACCTAGGAACGGACATCGGCTATCCTGACTGAGGTTTTCCGTGGTTTCCCCCAGTCCGTCAAGATAATACCTGGATTAGACCATGACCGCTTCCTTCCATATCCCTAGTCCTGCTATCACGCGACACTGCAACTGGCAGCGTTGTCAAATGAACAAGATACTGTGTAGTCTTGTATGTGAGTACCGACATTCTGCCTTCATCTGGATGCCTCCGAAACGTCGGTACCCACCTACTAGACCGTGGGAACCTCTGATCTCAAGACAGGTCTGTTTCCAGTGGCAAGCGGTGCAGTTTGTGTGCGTCAGACTGTACGCTGCGACTTTATCTACACATGCGTGTCCCGTGGCGGCGGCTGAACAGAAACAAAACACTCTTAACCGCTAATTTAGCAGCGCGACACGCGAACTGCTTATCGGCATGGCAACAAAACATTCTCCGCGGTAGCAAATCAACTACAACACAGCGTTCAGCTTATCGCGGGTCGCGACGTAATGAAGCAATTAAAAACCATTTAGTATTGCAAACTCTTAAACACTTGAAGCCCCAAGTCCATCTGAACAGCGCTCCCTAAGTTCACGGTTCACAGAAATCACACTCTCCCTATCACAAAGACCTACTGTTTTACGAAACACATCAAGTACAATGTGTGTAGGCAACACACAGAATTCTTTAATGTTAATGTGGGTGGTACATATAGCGACCACTGTGCTCTAACGGGTCTCGGACATCTGAACACGGAAAGGTTATAACTCAGAAGCTGTAACTTGACCTGCTGTCTTACGTGGGTGTGAAACTTGGTCTCCCTCACATGGGAACGGTGCGCTGAGGGGAAGTGGGCGGCTTCTTGCTTGTGTAGATCCTGTTATTGGGACGATCAATTCAAAGAATATTCCATTGGTGGGGATCGTAGCACGCATGCGAGAGACGAGAAATACATACAAAGTTTTGGTCAGAATATACGAAAGAAATATTCCGCTGACAAGATAATATTAAAATGAACATTCAAGGTACCGGTTATGATGGTGTAGACTGCATTCATTTGGCTTAGGAGAGAGACGTAATGGGAGGGCTCTTATGAACACAGCAATGAATACTACTGTGACCTTTCTAGGTGTAACCCCGTATAGTGTGGTAGGTGCATACGGACGTTTCAGAGGATCATCGTTCTCCAAAGGACTGAGACTATCTACCAGACTACATGGCGTCATACCCTGACATTCATCGACGTCAGATTCTGAAACCTTCACGGTTCCATAAAAGGCAGGGGCTTTGTCACGTAGCTGAGCTACTGTCAGCTCTTCAAGGAGGGTTTGTGATCTGACTGCGACGCCCGTCTGGGGACGATACTATGGCGTAGGCGCAAGTGCAATTTATTATAAACACCCCCTTCAGCAATCTACTGGATTCCACAGTAGTGCGTTGGTACTGACGCCGCCGTCGCTCCCACCTCACAAGTTCGCACTGCGCCATTTTGGCTGTCAGTAAATAAACCGGGAGAAAGGCGTGACGGCGTCCAGCAGCTGGTTCAGAAGTTGCTGATGCACGGCACTGCCCCCAGGCGTTCAGTCGCAGCGCAGCAGGAGGGGCGGACGGCCGGCGATACCAAATTTAATTAAATTCCATCAAACTGTTCTCTGATTACGAAACCGCTGAGCATGAAGATCGACTTCGTTTATCTATTTCGAAACCCGTGACACTTACGGGAAAAGTATAGTGAATATACTGCGTCCCATTGTTCCCAACCAAGGTTGCGGGTTCGATTTCCGATGGGGTCACTGGATTTTTCAATTTACGTAATCCTTCCAGACGCACTATGGTCCTGGGGAGGACTCAGCCTCTAACAGAAATGAGTACCAGGAATCTTCCTGGGGGTAAAGGGCAGCCAGCTTGTAAGGCTGACAACCTTACAGCCATCTGTGAGCCGATTGTTTAGAAAATGCGAGAGCCTCGACGTCTATGGGCCTCCACAGCCTGTTACGGGGATAACTTTTTTACCTTCTACGTTCGATATGCGCAGGAAAGCGCGCAGGTCTTCATGTGAAATGTTCGCCATTGCTGTTGGACTCTATCCACACAATTTCTAGTGAAAATCTCGTGTAAACGCGGCCGGCGATTCTCATGTTGTCAGATACGGACACAACGTCAACAGCCAGTGAAGGTGGCAGATGTCGTCTGCACCCCGGGGTAAATGTGGCCGGAGCGTGGAGGTAGACCAAGTATTAATCATATCGATACATTCGGAAGTTCTATCTGGACTCTAATCAGAGCGAGTCGGATTAATGATGATGAGACTGTAAGGTTCAGGGGTGAGTTTGAGGTCGAGGGTTCACCCCAGGCAAGGGGTGAAGCGCAGTGCCACCATACTTCTCGTTATCTTCCAGACATGCGGAAATTTTCGCGCCTCACAAAGTAAATGTTAGTTTGTGACGTTTAGATGCTCGCTCCTTTGTGAGTGGACCCGAGACACATCACATGGACTGGGGCACGCTGGGCCCACTGGACCGAGCGCTTCCGAGCATAAGCGGCCTAACGAAACTTGCTTAAGGACTCACAGCTCGGTTACTCAACCAGCTCTCTGACAGCATCGCCAATATCACAGCACACCACTGGACACGCCCCTGAGCCAGTTCCATCCACTCGCATCCTAACAGCCTGTTTCCCTAAGAGCCATCTTACTAATTAACTGACTCTCTGGCAGCAGCACCCGAAGCTCCAACTACCAAAGCCCGCCACTGGACACGCCCCTGAGCCAGTTCCACCCACTCGCATCCTCACAGCCCACTGCATGCTCGACGCCGGGAGGGCCGCGGGGTAATAAGAATGCGGCTGCGGCTATCGGTAACAGCAGATTCGGTTGCAATTCTCAATAACAAAAATTACGAAGCTAACTTTTCGTGATTTAACAGAAGTAAATGTCTCAGTAAAATCTGTGCATGTTCTGTGGAGGCTCCCGGGGGCCACGCCACCGCCCCCCCCCCTGAATCCGGGACAGTGTCACGACCACTCCCAATTCACCCTTTACTAATCATCCTGCAATTCGAAACAGCAGGATGAGCTACTATCAGCGGATAAGTATACTGATACCATCGCGGTTCGAGAGGCCTCATCACAAGTTTCGTCTATTTGTGGACGCTGAATCAATTCCTCCTTCTCGCTTTGAAATCTGGCATAAGGAATAACGTCTCAACCGAACCCCCCCCCCTTTTCCGGCTCGAAACGAATAAAAGGGAAAGTTAGAGGGGTTGGGGAGGGGGGTACGAAATTGCCGGACGCTGAGGGACTCTGGCCGGGATGCGGAATTCTATTACCGGTACTGCCAACATTACGAACAGTAAAAAGACGCTTGCAGCAAACTCCGATAAAAAGGAAGAGACCGTGCAGTTTATGTGGAGCGAGGGCTGCGTCCCAAAGCGTGGTCTGACACACAGTTGGCACACTTCACGGGTTCCGAAGGTTTACCTCTACTATTTCTGTTTGCTTTCATTTTGTCATGGAAGTTCCATGTCTTCCACGGACTGTCACCTCAGAAGGTCAGATTCGTTGTGGAGCCTCGAGTTCATTTCCCGGCGACTTCACCTGATATTTCTGGTGGAAATGCTGGCATTTCAGAGAGCGGTGATCTCCAAATTCCTTTCGTTTCCCCCTTGCTAGTCATCACTCCACCATTGCTCCTTATTCATGTACGTGTATCGCCGCCCCCCTGAGACGTGCGAGCGCCCTGACCACGCAGCACAGTATCACATGCTCGGACTTCATCTCTGGCCCGGTACTGTTTACATGTCACGGTCGCCATGGCAACATGTTCGTGCCCAGTTTTACGAGACTAATCAGATGAACCCAAAAACGTATTTCGACGCCAGAAAATCCATGAAAGTGAGCAACCACTGCCAGGACAGGGGACAGTTAACTGCTGTTCGTAGCATCGGGACATTCAGGGATTCTGTAGATCCAGTGTCGTGACGAGAAGACCCACCGGCTAACAACATAAACTCCTAACATCTCAACATATCACACCCCGATCTGTGCTTAAGCGTGTGTTATCTTCGAATTGCGCCAGTTACCTTCGTGCGTGCTATATGTCCTGCGGATCATACCCTTTAATTGTTCAAGCAATATGAATGGAGCAACATCTGCCACGCCCATGCCCCATACGTGACCTTCAGACTTCGGGAAACGCTCTGGTTACGTCCGTTCAACTGACAAACGTTTACAGACTTATTGTTGTTGTTGCTATGGCGACTGGGAGCAAACGCACCCCTCTCAGGGCGCAGTCCGAAGGCTTACAAATACGATCCTGAGACATTTCTAACAATACTTTGATTCTTCCCTCTCCTTCTTGGTCTTACGGGTGTCCGCTTTCCTCGCTCGCAGCTTGGTACGCGGCCCAGCAAATCAAATCTCTGGGAAGAGCTCGCCAGAAAGCTTTTCCCATTTTCCTATCTTCTTTCCGCGCTTGAATTGCGCCTCAAATGGAACGCGAGATCCCCCGGGAGAGCGGCGTCACCTGCCTCCTCTCCAATCCCTTCCTGTGCCGCAGCGACGCCCTCCCCCGGGAACGTCTTGTAACCACGTGACCCGACCTGACCCGACAGGAAGCAGAAAGCTTTTAAATTTCGTTTTCCACCACTCTGCAGACTTGGCCCGTCTCCTTACTTCCTCCCGCGCTCGCTCATTTCGCTTGCAGTACAGGGCGCCCCCAAACAGGGTGCTGGAGGCGGGCGCCAGGCGCACGCGCACTGCCGCGCCCTCTCCCTGCCCTGAATCCAATCAGCATCAAAACAGACGGCACCGTGCCCTTCTTTTATTTGCAAGGAGGAGGAGAATCTGTCGCAGGAGACAAACAAGCCGGCATAGGGTGATCTGCAAACTGCTTCATGTTACAGGACACAAGGACGAGGACGCGGCGGGTGGAGGTAAAGGCGGCCACTCCAGCGGAAGCCTCACCAAGAAGCAGCGGAAGGCGCGAACAGCGTTCACGGACCACCAGCTGCAAACTCTGGAGAAGAGCTTCGAGCGGCAGAAGTACCTGAGTGTCCAGGATAGGATGGAGCTGGCTGCCAAGCTGAGCCTCACGGACACGCAGGTCAAGACGTGGTACCAGAATCGCAGGTGAGCGATGTTGCGACAGTAGACTCCGTAATGCTGCCCTCGATTAGAAATTCAAGCAGCCCGGTATTCAAATATCAAAGTGGTTAATTCTCAACCGTCTGCGAAACAAGTGTTGTTATCGTTGGCTTGAAGTCCGCACGTAATTGAAATGCCGCATTTCCTGGGCTTCAGAAAACCAACTGGATAATGCAAGAAGTTCGTGCCGATTCTTATCCGAGAGCCCAAAGAAACAGGAAACGACCGCAGAGTTTTTGAACATTCCAAGCGTCATTACGCGTCCTTATCGCGGGGGCTGGGAGCCGTTAATGACTTCCTATGTGAGGCTTTTCAATTGCAGCGCAGAAATTACGGGCCATCACGCGAACCAATTGTTAGCATTAGTAAACCGCGGGCCGGCCGGAACGGCGGTCCTCGCGATACAAATCATCGATACGTGTAATTAGGGGGTCCAGTTGGCGGTGTATTCACACTGCGACGCGTGCCGCAAACAAGACGGCAAACTTTAGACCCACGCGTAGTTCGTAGTTCTCTCTACGCGATGTGACGTCATGTAGACTTCTATCCTGAAGATGGAAGCAGTAAGTTTCTGCGAAACGCTAGTAACCATCTACCAAATCGCATGGCGCCATATTCCAGATGAGCGCAGTGTTAATAGCAGGAAAGGTTGCCGCTGCAGTAGAGATTAGGCCCGCTGGTTACAGGACCTGAGCAGACTCACTAGCCCGCGTTTCGGTTGAACACTGAATTATGCAGCATTGCATGAACATGTACTCTAACATTTAGGCACATGTTTCATTTCGGGTTGTCTCCCCTTATTTAATCAACACGTACGAAATGAAGACGTGTGGGGGGAATGGAGGTATACCTCTAAGCATCCTCAACGTCGCAGACCTGCTTACACCTGTTCTCACTCTCTTCGCTTGCGGATTTTCTTATTTTTCCTTCTACCCTCAAGATGGAGGCGATACGTTATTCCGAAACGTCGGTTAACACCACATCTACACGGTGCCACATCCCAGAAGACTGCTCTCTTCGTAGTCACCGCCGTGAAAACCTCAAATCTTAAAACAATTAAATCTGTCCGACCCAGTTTCGACATTTCGAGTTTGGGTCTCTCTTGCGCGCACCTGACGATACCGATTCCGGGGATGGTCTCCATGAATTATAGGAACTGAATCCCAAACCGTTGGCGCCGTTACGATAAAATGGCCCCATCTGGAGGTCGTGTGTTCGTGTTCGGCACACAGATCTGTGGGACACAGGGCAACAGAGCGCCTCCCCCACCCGACCGCGCTGTTTCCTTATGCGGAGAGACGTACTGTCTTTCCGTGACGCAGGAGTTCCGCCTTCAGACATTACCTGGTTAGATTAGGCTGCCGAGGGATACCGGAAAGCGCCTAGTCTCGTACCCAGCGCCAGGACTCGTGGCAGCCCTCACATTAACATGGATGTGATACCAATGTATTCGATTTCCTGTGTGAAATGTGACTTCTATTGTCATCCGCCAGGAAGCGCACTGGTCCAGTTTCAAAAAAAAAAACAAACAAACAAACAAACAAAAGTTTATTATTAGGTAATATATATACATAACCTGCCCATACAAAACTGAGAATCAAATATTATTTAGAGACTTCCGTTGCATGCGAAGTTTGGCTTGGATTTGCCGCAGTTGGTCGTGCTGCGTCATTCCTCCTAGCGGCTAGCAAGTGCAGGAGGTACAGTGCGGGCCAACAGCAACACAACACGGCACTGTCAGCAGCTGGGACTATATCGCGCCTGAAGTTCTGTCTGGAGACTCCCACAACTTCTACACAATCGGCTCACAGATGGCAGTGACGCAGTCAGCCTTACGTGCCGGCCGCCCTTTACCCCCAGGAAGACTCCTGGTACTCACTCCTCTTAGAAGCTGAGTCGACCCCAGGGCCATTGTGCGGCTGGAAGAAAAATCCAATGACCTTATCGGGACTCGAACCCGCGCCCTTCCGGCTTGTAGCATAGTGCCTCAACCAACTACGCTACCGCATGCCCACAGATGCACTATGCTTAATGAATTTCAACGGTCTTGGCATAATTTACACCTGCCTCAACGAAGCAAAGGACAAGATCTGAGATGAAGAATTCAGTCTTCTGGGATGTGGCGCCGTGTAGATCTCGTGTGAACCGACGTCTACAGCCACCTGCTCAAGCTGGTTCCTCGCTCGCTGATTTTTCTACCCTGAAGATGGAAGCCATATGTTCCTCCGAAACGTCGGTTCACACAAGATCTACACGGCGCCACATCCCAGAATACGGCATTCTTCATCTCAAATCTTACCAGATCGGAGAGGCGCGGTCAGATATTCCATTCTGATATTATGTCCACTTAATTTGTACTGTCCGATGCACGGGAAATTCCAGTTAATTAATTTATTCTGTTAAATTTAAATATTGGTGAAAGCAATGGGCTCCCATTGGTTGAAGGCGTATGGGCGAGTGGATGTATAGACCTCGGCACTAGTTGGAGGGGTAGCAAAGACATTTCGTTTCAGCTCTAGCAGTAAGATGAATGGCGAAATGAACTTGGAACGGAAGATGCTTCACTTCAGAGTGGCTGTGAAAGTCTTCATGAATTTAGATTGTGGCGTCATCTTTTGTTTGGACAGTGAACTGCTGTGAAACTGACGAATGGGATAGCCACGGCTCAGTTCCCATGGCAACCCCGGTGTGCTCTCGTCACTGGGGTGGGACACAGCCAGATATTGCCAAACAGTACATTTGGAACTTCGCGCGAAGTGTCTTTCTTGGGGGGGGGGGGTCGGTCGGTTTAATGAATACTGAACTATGTTGACAGTTTTTAGTAAAAATCTTCAATACAAACTGTCACAAAAAATCGATGCGTGCAACGCAGGGGGAGTTGTTTCATGCGGACGGACAAACACGACGAAAGGAACAGGCGGTGCTCGCAATCTTTGCCAACGCGTCAAAACGCGAGACCCACCGTCGGGTAGGGAGTCTCTGTCTCGGGGCTCAGCTGACGCCCAGTGCACGGTGACCGTCACGTCAAGTGGCGCCGTGTAGTCCGGCACAAATCCATCAACATCGCCTCCATATTCAAGGTCCCAGACCAGAAATCAACAGTGTTGTGTTGTGTTGTGACCTGTAGACCCACTGCTAACTAAAACAGCCATTGCTAGGGAACAGCTCTGTTGACGAAAAGATAACCCAGAGTCTGGGGGTATAACCGGGCCCACCCAGTCACTGGGGGATATAAATACGGAGACCTGGCCCTCCAGGTTGGGGGAGTCCTGAATCTGAGACAGTAAAATGTGGCCATGAGTCCTGCGGGAGTGGGACCTAAGAATTACTGCTCTGGCGAGGACCAGCAGCTAGACTCGTCCTCTCGTCAGAGAGGGCGCCCCACATTAAGAAACAAACCCGCAACTGTTTGACAGTAATAAACATCTAGTCTTGGGCCCCGGATGGGCGCTCGAAACCAAAACAGACTAGCCGACTGACGGTCGGTCGTAACATAACTTTGACTCTGCCTTTGAATTGTTAAGACTGTTGAGAGTTGCAGCTGTGAGAAGTGAGAAGTTGGTAGCTGAGGCCAGGAACAGTTCGGGAACCCAGACGAATGGGAATGTCCGCGGTTGGAAGCCGCTATCAAGCAACGGCTAGTGTAGACTGAGAAGACTTTATGTGTGCTGTAGTTACAGTGACCTTTGGAGTGCGTGAGTCACAATTCAATGTAGCTACGATATGCAAAAGCCCAATAAATCCGATTACCAACCGAAACATCGTCTCTTTTAACACTTACAACGTTACATTATGTTCTTCCGAAACGTCGGTGAACGCCTATCTAATTACACAGCGTCACGTCTCCGAAGACTAGAGAATGTTCGTAAGAGTTCTCAAAGCTGTCGGTGAAGAGAAAACATCGAGCCATTAACCCATCAATACTTAAACACATCTTCCACTGCAAGCAGAACGCGTTCTGTTTCGGTCACTCGGGCCGTGAAATTGTCACATTCAGGCGCTAACCGATCTACACAGGGAAATCCATTAGAGCCGTCACGGTTTCTTTGCATTACCCAGCGATTTCTTTAGCAGCGGACCCTTTGAGACCGATGTCCCGATGCCGGACGATAAGGAGACAGACGTAACAATGGGGAACTTTCATCCACTTCGCATGATGGCCCCTGCATATTCCGTCTTCTCTAACTTAATTACCAATGCCACAGCCCACGAGCACGTAGGGCGAGGGGCGACAAATCAGGTACCTCCCCCCCCGGATTCTTGAATTAGCCGGTACGCCGATATCCCAGTAGTTAGCGGTGACTCCGCAAAGTAACCGCGTTATGAATTAAGCTGCTGCTAGGCAACGAAACAGATTCAGCACTATAAAACGGGCTATGGTACAAGTGTCTGAACTGGGAGAGTTCTGAAGGCCGTCAGAGAGTGAAATACGGACATGAGTCCCGTGGGACCCGAAACCAAGAAGCACTGTGCTGGCGAGGACCAGCAGCAATGTAACAGTCAATATGTCATGGGGAAGTAGGGAGGCGTATTCTTAATCTCGACACTAAACGGAGGTGATTGGTCAGCTTCACACTCCGGCCGCTTTATCCTCGATGGTAATTGTACAGGAGGCTGGGTGGGGCCTAGACCAGGGTGTGGACGCTATGGAGAGGAGGAAACTCCATAGCCCCTGACGGGAAACAAACTCCAATCCCTCGATCGTCCAGTATATAAAGGCGTCACTATGCTGAGTTAGCTAGGCGTAAACGGGAGGATAATATTAAAATGGATATTACATGAAGAGGATGTGAAGGCAAGGGAATGAAGCCTCTTGGGGAGGCCCAAGCTCCATGCAGTCAGCAGTTGCGTGCTCCTATTGAACCAAGTTGTGCAGGAACTGCTATTGGCTTCGTTTTCCCCTACAACACCACTAAACACAAGAGGGTGTCCGTGAGAATGTGGGGTGGGGCTGCACCCCACAGAGCAGCGGCCCAGAAGTAATTGGCATTCATAGCCCTCGGCAATTTGTCATGCGGTCGCAGTAAATGTCGCGAGAAGATGAGCGGTTCCACGGTACAATCATCGCTCCAAGTTTCGTCAAAATCCAGCCTACACTCGGTGTTGCCAGCTCCAGGTCAGAGCCTAGAGGCCCGCGGGATCCTGAGGAAGCTCACTAGCCTCGGTCTTCATTTATAAAATCATTTTAGTAAAAAATTAGCCGTAAATTGTGCGCACGGCTCAATGCATCTGCCGCATCGCTCAAACGTATTTAAAAACATGGAAGAACCTGGAACGGTCAGAAAATGTGATTTGTGTTGCTCCGAGTGACTGGAGCTCAAGATGGACTCGTGTACTGCTCACAGAAACTGAAATGCAGTAGGAGTGTCCGGTAGGAGACGTAACGGGGTTCCCGAGCTGTCTGTCACATGCAGACTCTGTCTGTACCTGTCAGTTGCCTTTGCAAAAGCACATAAAGCTGGACTGAGAAAGAGGCCCACAAATAAAACAGTTTTCGTGCCCAACTACTTTACTAATATCTAATAATCAGTTCCTGCCTCCTAGAAAACACACTGATCAGTCCGTTAATGTGAGACCTGAGGTTCGTAAGAGTGAGTAGAACCGTTTTCTCGGATATATGTGTAGCAATGCTGGGTACGGGACTCAAACCGGTGTTCCCTCTGTTGCAGAACCAAATGGAAGCGCCAGACTGCTGTTGGCCTGGAGCTGCTAGCCGAGGCGGGCAACTACGCCGCCTTCCAGCGCCTATACGGCGCGCCTACATACGGCTGCTGGCCCTACCCGGGGGCGGCAACGGGGGCGGTGCCAGTGGCACCCAGCACAGCGGACCTCTACTACAGACAAGCGGCGGCGGCAGCGGCGGCGGTCAGCACGCTGCAGAAGCCGTTGCCATACCGCCTCTACCCGGGGGCGGGCATCGGCCTGGGCTTACCTGGTCCCTCGTCCGCCGCCCCGCACTTGCCCGCCCCCGTGGGGTCGCTGTCCAGCTACTACAGCAGCCACCGGTCACCGCAGAGTCCACCCCAGAGCCCGCCCCCAGTCAGCAGGCCCAGCTCCGAGGAGGAGGACTCTCCCCCGCGCGTCTAGATGTCAGCACCTCACATACAGTGTATATACATACGGTGTACATAGCACAGTGCATATCCACAGCCGGGACTTGTGTGGGACAGAATGCGAGGATGTTGCAACTGTGTGTCCGTCTCAACCCACAACAACAGCGCATGTTTCAAGCTTCTTTTGTTTTAAACAATATGAATACTGAAAACTGCATCATTATTACGAAACGAGCTAAATTATATTGTTGTAGGTTGGTATTATAGACGTTTCCTTCAGATATCGAATTCGGGGCCCTCGACAGGCGTCCGATCAGCAGCGCCGGCCGTCCGCCCCGAAACTTTACAATTACCGCCGGCCACTCTGGCAACTCGCGCAGCTGCTGCTTCTGAGAGAGAGATGGGAAATTTTGTATTTCGAAGTTTTCGGCCCTGCAGCCGGTCATTTGTCCCCGTCAAAACACCTGAGCGCGATTAAATAAAAGGAACACGGAACAAAAGAGGTGAGGGGTGGGAATTTGCGTGATTAATCGTGCGGGGAGCGGAGAGGGGGAAGCAATAATCAGAACACAGTGTTCAGTGACACTGCAGCGCGATTCACAGCAGCTCGCGTGACAGCGCGTCACTGGAGACCTGAACACCTGCCCGGGGTGCCAGCAGCCGCGCCAACTTGTATCAAGCTTTGTAATAATAAAGCTAAGATGTGCAACTCTTGAGTTTAACTGTGCCCGCCTCTCCTTGCCCACGAGGTTCAGAGCTCCAGAGAGTTGGGCTACCGAGGCGGGAATCGAAACTGGAACCTTCTAATTCCATCTGGTGGGGTTGTAATGACATGGATACCTCACGCTCCGGTTCGATTCCCGCCATACTGTCGCCCTGTATGCACTTCCTTCGGTCACTAAGCAACCGGAGACACTTGGAGCAATGATGAGGAGGGCATGTAGAAAGCATAGACGAAGAAGAAAACATCATCCGGATAAGTTCTCTGGGTTATGCCACCGTATAGTCTGGTAAGTCAGTTATGTTCCTCCGACATCTTGGTATCCATTTACCAGACTGCATGGCGTCATACCCCAAACCTCAGTCCCTATACAGGTGAGTGTTGTTGCCTTGTCTGATTCGCCTGCAGAAGAAGCTCACCGCGCCGCAACTCCTGTGCGCAGACGCACAACAAACTGCGCTCCTCCGTCCCATGAAGGCAGAGCGGCCACCGCGACAACCGGCCTCATCATTACGGCAACACCAACACAGCGAGGCCTCAACGAGAAACTAGGAACAGAGGGCGAGTGGGTCGGACTAAAGCAGGGCAATGTCACGGCAGTGGAGGGTGTTGCTGCCAGACAGGTGGACGTGCCACAGCGACGGCCCAGGTTCCATCTCAGTTTAGGTCATGTCGCATTTGTCATTGACGAAGTGTCACTGCAGATCATTCTTTCCGAGTACATCGGTTTCCTCTACCAATTATCATTCTACCGACTGCTCCAGGCTCATGTCATCCCGGGACTGGTACAATAAGCCTAGCAGTGGCCGTGTACCAACACCCCCCACCCCACGAATCAAAAAGAAAAGAGATGGATCTTCGGGAAATTGGATGTGAGAATGGGAGGTGGATGGAACTGGCTCAGGATCATGTCCAATGACGGGCTTCTGTATTATGGGGTTGAACACTCGGGTTCTACAGCCAGAGAGTCAGCTAATGTGGTTTGTGCGTTCTGACGCCGTTCTCAGCCGCAAGTTCCACTTGTTTCTGTGCGGCTGGACATAGTTCTTAGGTCTTTACAAAAACGCAGCTGGTTTGAGGCTGCGTCCCGTGAATGTACATTACCACCGGGTGTTCTGAAACCGCGGCAATATTTTCATGGGAAAGACAATTACTTATTAAATGCATTCACTCATGCGACAGGCGTTTCTATACACAGAGCCCAGACAGCTAATAACGCAAATAGGCCTAACAGAAAATTATCAGAAATTGTAATTTTGTCGGGTCTGGGCTAAATCTCTCCACGCTACGCACGATGTACAGGGTGGGACGAAACAATGGAAACACTAGTGATACTGTACATATTTCTCTATTAATATGGTGTTGGACCACCTTTTGTCTTGAGTACAACCGCAATCCTTCTTCGAATAAACTAGTACAAATTTTTGAACAATTTCTAGCGGAATTTTATACCATTATTCCTGAAGAAAACCGTCATGTTGCTATAGAAATGTTGGAGGTGGGAACCTGCTCCTCATTCTAGTCTCCGAAACTGACCACATTGGTTCACTGATGTTCATGTCTGGAGACTGTGCTGGCCAGGGAAGATGTTGAAGTTCGCCTTCATGCTCTTCAAACCGCCACTAAACAGTTCCAGCTGTGTGAATGGGGGCACTGTCATCTTGAAGAACTGTATCCTTGTTCGGAAATAGCGCCTGGACCATGGGATGCACCTGATTACCCAACCTGTCCATTCGGCCATGAAGGGTAACAATGGGACCAACAGAAACTGCACCACGACGTTGCTGCCCAAACCCCGTGTTTCACTGTTGGAACCTGGCATTCCGGATTGCAGACTCCCTTTGGTGGTCTCCATACGTAAACTTCCTGACCATAACACGCGCGCGTCTCCAATGTCTGATGTCCAGGTTTTAAGGTCGTGATACCAACGTTTACGCATCTGAGCCTTGCTCCCAGTAATCAGAGGTTTAGCAGTTGCAGCCCTGCCGTGGATGTTGGATTTGTGAAGCCCAAGTCGGACAGTTTCTGTAGAAACACGGTCTTCGAGATGAATATTCAGTTCTCCTGCAGTTCACCTGTACGAAGATCACTTCCTATCAGCGTTGATTTTCGCCTACTGTTCCTCTTCGCTGATGTTATCTTCCTATGATTCCTGTATGCCGACATAGCCTTAGGAACCGTCGCTCTGTACACCTGGTGATGTGGCAGCTTTAGTCAGAGACGCTGCAGCTAAACGCGCAACAACAATCTGTCCTCTTTCAAAATCAGGCAAGTCTCATTTTCCCGATTATTTGACACGGACTGTCACTCAACACAATCATTAATGCACTTACACGAGCACTACAGAGTGTACACAAACGGAAGAACATTCAGTGTTGCCAACTAAAATTCTACCAATTCAGCGAACAAAAACAAATTCTACTCCTCGACTTCTTAGGGTTTCCGTCATTCTGTCCACCCGCTGTATCTCCCTTGTAGACTTTAATTTGTGGGCGTCGTGACAGCCGTGACTTTACAGCAGCAATTCTACGTTACGATGGAAACACGCCAGCACAAGACCCAACCACTACACATCCTTGCGCGCATTACTTCCTGTAACGCTTACTGTCCTATCCAATGGGTACCAGGGGTCAGACACCTGCATTCACTACTCCTACGGATGCAGTAATGGTGTTCAGGATCCATGCAGCTATTCCTCAATCCTACATACGCTTCTACGTAACGTAAAGCTATCCCTGTAACAGTCCGTGGAGGCCCATACGGTTGTGAGACGTCGAGGCTCCCACATTTTCTAGACATCCCACATTTTCTAGACAAGCGGCTCACAGATGGCGGTAAGGTTGTCAGCCTTACGCGCCGACTGGCAGCCCTTTAGCCCCAGGAAGATTCCTGGTACTCATTTCTGTTAAGAGGCTGCGTCGACCCCAGGGCCATAGTGCGGCTGGAAAGTTTAGGTCAATTGAAAATAGATCTAAAACTATTTGTTTTCCTGTTCAGTGTAAAAGTATGAAGGCCGTATGTAAACGTGGACACCAAAAGGTGAGTAGAGATATCTGACAAACAAACAAACAATATTGTGCTAACGAGCACTAAGTGACGCGACGAATGGAAGCTGCCATTCAATATGGCAGTGCTGAAGTAGGAAATACAAACTAGTGTATATCCCGTTGATAATTCAACAAACAATCTTGCTTCAAAGATTTATCCTCGGTTACCGTCCTCTGTGGATGAAATCAAACGTCAAAGTGTTTTTTTTTATGATTATACGAGGTATAGTCCTGAGCACGCAGGACATGATCACACATCCTCGGGTTTAAGTGTGAGACTTCACCTCGTACCCAAAGGCTGGCTGTTCAGAGTAAGGAAGTCTGTCTGTGTGCGAGCAGGCGAGTGAAGTATCGAAGCAGAAACAGTTTAACCAAGAAATGTCAGCAACGAACGAACAAAGTCTCACTGGTAGGACAACATTGGGGGAAAAGGAATCCCGGTTCAGAAACTGTGCTCCACAGATACCTTTCGGTGGGGTCACCACTTGAGCGGCAGACCCAGTGTTGCTGATCCCTCCAATGACGTCCCTCGCCTCCCACAGAGCGAAGACAGAAGGATTCCTGTACGAACGAGAGATGTGGGCAGCAGATCTGTGACAGAGGGTGCAAGGCTAACATCAAGATATGAACTTTCCTGGAAAGGCGTTATGGCAATACAGAGTTCAACTCAGAATGGACATGCAGACAGCTAATTACTTGAAGAATGCCATCTTCTGGGATGTGGCTGGCTCCTCGCTCGCGGATTTTTCTACCCTGAAGATGGAGGCGATACGTTCCTCCGAAACATCGGTTTACACAAGATCTACATGGCGCTACATCCCAGAAGACGGCATTCTTCATAGTCACCGCCGCGTAAACCTCAAATCTTAATAGAGTTAATTACTTGTTTTGACAGTTGATTGGTTTACTGGTCACAAATTAATGGAATGCTGGTTTTGGAATACCCTGTTCAGTCCGTTCACACGAGGTAATCAAGCGGCACCTTTACATTTTGACAACGTTGATATGGCGCCTCCGGGGGTTCCCTAAACGACTGTACGATTTGACATAATGCAGGACATTATGCCGCTGGGCAAGTTTCGACCAAACTGCATACACAACGACAGGCTAAACAAAGGGAAGTTCGAGCTTGCTGATGGGGGGGGGGCACAATTTCGAGATGCGAGTCATGCTCAGTAAGACTGATAATGCAGCTACCTGAGTGCGCCAGGCTATCCTGACTGATAAGATTAAAAGGAGGCTTCTGTGGAAGCACTGTGTTATCTTGACAGGGAATATTAACAGAGAGGCTACATAAGGGTCTTTATAATCACTGTATAATGTTTGCGAGGCTATCCTGATAGATAAGATTATGAGACTGCAGAAAGCTCTGTGAAACCACTTTACAATGCCTACAAATCTATCCTGACAATTAAAGCTTAAAAGACTTTGTAACGGCAGTGAGCCCTACAAGTGGGCAGCGCCATAGTTCAAGCGGTTAGTCGCTGGCTTCCCACCGCGGTGGCCCGGGTTCGATCGCGGGTCTGGTCAAGTGGGATTTGTCGTGGACCAAGTGGCGCTGGGGCTGGTTTTCTCCGAGTACTTCGGTTTCCCCTGCCAATCTTCATTCCACCAATTGCTTCACAATCACCCTCACCTATCTCATCTGGTGCTGGTGCAATAGGCCAGAAGTGGCCGCGGTACAAGGGACTTAGTCCCACCTCACTAACAATAAAAAAAGCCCTACAAGTGGTACGAGGCTATCGCGAACGCTAGACAGCATAGCCTGCCACACACTGAACCTAGCGACATCCTCTCACACTTGCCGCCGGACCCTAGGTACCACGCGTGGGCCAATTCTAAAGCAAGACAAATACGCAACATCAACTGCAAATGTTTGCTTCCTCGCCGGCTTACAGGAGCAGCTCATGTCCATCAGCAATGGCAGACTTGTGGACACAAGCGCTCGGGCATGCGCACAACGCAACCGACTCAGATATCTCTCATCATCGCTACAACAAAAGTGTGCCACTCACATCATCGAATTACAATGCATGGCCAACACCCTTAAGATCATTATTAATATTATCCCCACTTATAAATGGGACTTCTTTCCAGAACAGGTTCGGCAGAGCACGTAGAGGAAGGGGAAAGCGGGAGAGGAAGAAGTTACATTCTGTTTTCAAGAGAAAGAATACGTACAAAATTAATTTGACTTTTAAGAACAAACAGAGAAAAATGCTAAGATTAACTATATCAGAAAAGAGAAAAGTTTGAAAACTACTTTAATGTGACTATTATTTTCCATATTGTCCATCATCTTCAGTTTCTCAAACAAAAAAATAAAACTCCGTCGTTTTAATTCGCAAGCGAACTATACCGACCGAGCGACCGTCGCTTGTCGGTGAAGTTTTTTTTTAATTCGCTTACCGGGGGGTGGAGTCCAACTGGGTCCACTCGGCACGGCGGCCACTGAGTGGTCTAGTGTAGCCTGCCGATTATGATGATGAAAATTTGATGTAATGAAGATCTGCAGGGAAAACCGAAGTACTCGGAGAAAACCAGCGCCACTTTGTCCACCACAAATCCCACTTGACCAGACCCGGGACCGAACCCGGGCCGCCGCGGTGGGAAGCCAGCGACTAACTGCTTGAGCTATGGAGCGGCCTGTCGGTGGAGTTAGTGTCAACTTCTGCGGATAGAGGGTGTCGCGTGGTCAGCGTAACGAACCAACGGCCGTTAATTTCAGTTCAGTTTCTCAACCACATTCCGAAAACTCTTCCAGCCATTTTGTAACGGGCCCAACTGGTCCCTTAAACCTGAAGATGAGAATAGATCCAGTCTCCGAAACTCAGGACAACAAAACAGCCACGTTTACTGCAGCCCGACGCAGACAGACATATCTCGACGCGGTTCAGAACGATTTATTCCTGACGATGCCTACATGAAACCTGATTGGTACAATCTTCCGCGGTGTGCCGCGATTATAGTGTGCCCGATGGCGGTACTTCAAATGCTGGATCCACTGTCTCGCTTGCTGATCGTGCAAACATCTTCACGGGATCTGCGAGATGCAGTGACAGTGCGCCTCCTTCACGTAAGTTTCCTAACGATTCTACGGTCATGGTGACATTATGAGGCAGAAACACAGTGTTCTGTGTGTTTTGTATGCTTCTCAATACAGTTCCCTAACAGGCACTGAACTGTCGCTATTACGGAGAAAGTGTGTTTTCTGTGAGGTGGAAATAAAGTTTCTGCATATTATTTACATGAACTTCCGGCCAGGAAGGCTTAATGATGTCATACCACTTCCGGCGGCTGTAGGCCTACGGTATCAAAGGTGACACAGAATGATCGCGAACGGTGAACAGGAAGAAATCTGTAAGGAAGTGATTCTGGCCTATCGAGGTTCCCATCCGAATCAGCCCGAGAGAAGCGAGTTAAGTCGCGCGAGGACTTCACGAGTTTGCAGAAAATCTGAAAATATTCGGCGCCAGACGGGAGCATCGCCATTTCTGTCGGGTAACATTCGGGGAAGGGCGCCTAATATACATCACAGCTCCTCTATACCTTGCAACCCAAACCGACTGTCCGTTGTTGTGTACAACTTGCAACCCAAACCGACTGTCCGTTGTTGTGTACAACTTGCAATACAAACCGACTGTCCGTTATTGTGTACAACTTGCAACACAAACCGACTGTCCGTTATTGTGTACAACTTGCAACACAAACCGACTGTCCGTTATTGTGTACAACTTGCAACACAAACCGACTGTCCGTTATTGTGTACAACTTGCAACACAAACCGACTGCCTGCTTTCGTGTACAACTTGCAACACAAACCGACTGCCTGCTATTGTGTACAACACACACTATTCGTCCTTTATAAGCTTACATCGATAAAGCCGCTGCTTGGAGTCAATCTTAATTACTCCACCCCGAGAGAAGAGGCAGCTAGCAACCAATTAGGGAGGTTTCCCCCTCGCTCTGAATTCTCCGAGCCCCAATTCCATTATCGCCCTCATTAGTCGTAATTGTTACAAGCCAATAATCCGCTGCTCATGCGCATTAACAACATCACACAGCGCCGCGTGGTGGCAATTGAGGCAAACTCAATCAGCGCTTCCCAGGCCAATGTGTTATTGGGTTCGAATAAAAACAGAACAAATTCTATTAATTTAAAATTCGCTTTGAAGAGGTTTTGTTTCCAAATGAAAACAAAATCGCCGTGGGTCTGATTGGAGTCCGGGAAACACATCGTCCAGGGTTCGAATTCATTCTGTTTCAATATAAGACTGCATTTGCCAAAATTGGATCAGCGTAGAAACTGAAAACAATAAATTGATATTTATTTACAGGAACCTTCTGTCGGCGCGTTGCCATGGTAACGTACAATTTGTATCTAATTGCCGACAGATGAAGGGACATGTAACCTCAAAAGCCAGATAGGAATGAAGCGCGTTAAGCCATGCGTGGCACGCAAACGGTCACGGCGGTCACAGCAAGACACGAAGAAGCGTACTGTAAGTGATGGATGCTGGGTTAACGCAAGCAACGGATCCAGAGGACTGTCCGCTGTACATTTCCATAATGCTACTTACTGTACCGTACAAACGTCACCGGTACCATATAAAAACGTTTTCATAACATCGGCTTATTTTCTATTAGCATTTCAACATCTTGGAGACTGAACCCATACACCTCAGAGATCTGTCGCCCTTGAAATCGCCACAATACCGCCATGTTGGTGTTACTTATATTCCAGCAGAAAGTAGAAACACAGGATCAATGCAGATAAACCTGTCTGAGTTCCTGGAGCCATGAAATTACAGCAAGGAAAGCGTTAGAAACGCAAAGAAGGAGAGATCGGTCGATTCATGCCTGCAGCTGAATCTGGCAATATAAAGACGCGTACAAGTCGTCAACAGCATCTCGATTAAACAATAAGAGAGGCTTAAGCTGGCCCTGTGCTTATCTAATTAAGCACTACGCAATGAAGACGTATGGAAAAGTTCTATTTACAGATTCATGCTTTCTTGACCTTGGCACTAGTTGGAGGTGAGTGGTCAGCTTCACGCCCCGACCGCTTCACTCCCGGTAGCCATTTGAAAGAAAACTGGATGGGCTCCAGAGCTGGTCTGGACGACGTGGAGAGGATAAAACTCTTGACCCTACCGGAACTCGAACTCCGACCCCTCGGCTGTCCAACCTGTAGCCACTCGCTACACCAAGAGACGTCAACTGTACACATGTTTCAGGTTGCGTCAGGATGATACAGTGACGCAGAGCACGCCGTACCTCATTCTGCTTAGCAGCCAGCAAGATGGCCGGCCTTCTGAAGGTATGACGCATGCTCAGATATGCTGACACAGACAATGCGAGTTGCGCCTTTTATTCAAACTAGCTATCACTGGGTCAAATAATCTGTAGCATGTTTTGTGACGGGTTCGAACCCGGGCTGTAGGCACAGTGCTGGAACCAATAGCGGCGCCAGCCTGCAGCCCATGCTAATTGCCGTACCAATCGGAGCGCGCGACACAAAATCTAATCAAGCCTCAATTACAGCCTCAGAGATGCGCGCTCAGGTTCCGGGCGCCATCTTGAACCACAGGCTCGAGTCCGACCCTGAAGTGCGGCGTATAGTAGTCCTAGAGAGTTAGTTCCACACATTCAAGACAAGCTGAAACCGCAAACTGTATATAGCAACTGCTTGTGGGTAAATCTAAGAATCAAAGAGTGAGAGACCTGCTACGTCGGCGCACGAAACCTATCCAGGGCCTAAGTAGTGCTCACTAGCCTGTTCTGTTTCCTGTTCCTTACCGCGAACCTAACAGATAACACCCAAATATATCATGAAACTGACTCTGTAGTCTTTATCAGTAAGCACGGCAGCCATGGTTGTTAGTGTTATGCGATTGGAAGCCTTACGAGCGAACTTCAATTCATAATTTGATTGCTANACCGGTTCTCACGGTCTCTTCGCTTGCAGATTTCTTATATTTTTTCTTCTACCCTGAAGATGGAGGCGATACGTTCCTCCGAAACGTCGGTTAACACCACATATACACGGTGCCAAATCCCAGAAGACTGCTTTCTTGATTGCTACTGTTTCCTTAAAGCTTAAGCTACTGTATACTGTGCTAAACAGCCATACACCGGACGGAGAACGGGTGCAGGGCAGTCTGCAGGACACTGGCCACGCCCACTGAAGGATCTGCAGTCTCGAACAACAAAATTCCAATTAAATCAGGTTAAACATCCGAACCGATCACCGGACATCGCCACATGAAGCTGAGAGGTGTCAGGTTTCGTCTTGAGACCGAGCTTCTTCACACGGGCACAGCAAGAAACAGGACACCGCGCGCCACAGGGTGACATGCAAACAGTGACAGGACACCAAACAGCACTCTCAATCAGACGCGCCGGCTTACCCACACTAAGACCTGATTCCAAGCCAGCTGAATCTAACCCACATTACAAAACATTACAATTCACATGTTATTTTAATATTATCCCCAAATTCTGAGGCGTAGCTTTAAATCTGACTCTACGGACATGAGTCTTCTTTAAGAAGCTGACAATTGCTCAGCTATTCAACAAATAAACAAGCTTTTGCGGAACCAGGGAGTTTACTGACGTGATCACAACAACAGCCTAACATGGGTCCCTATCCCGAGCCAGAGGAATCCAGTCCACGTCTACGCATCCCACTGTCTGAACACACATTTCAATATGATCCTCTCGTCTATACCTGTGTATCCCAAGTTGACTCTTGCCTTCTGGCTCTCCCATTTCTCTCATCTCCCCACTTTGAGATGATCGCGTCAAGATTCGACGCTACTTCGCCCAACCGCCTCATCCTCCTCAGCAACCTGTGTCAAAGCCTCAGGGTCCGAGTCCAATGTAACGAGATACATTTATATCATTCAGTAACTTCTTTCTCGCATCCGAGCTGCATCCCAGCCCAGCAAAACATCAACTGAGCGAGCGGCTTAGTGTACCGCTAGCGCTACTGACTTACAATCCGAAGGTTCGCAGTTTAAACCTCGGTGGAGATAACAAATTAATTTGCTGGGGCGTTTCTTGCGTTATCTCGGTGCTTTAGGCGACAAATTCTGGAACTACCTCCTTCCAGATCCCTCCCACGTCAGTGGTTGCTACTATCTACCATCTGGGTCTGCTAATTGCCACAATTAGCCTCCACACCTGCTGCATGTTTAAACCTGTTATTCCTCCATCATTACGTCAATTAGAAGTGTCGATATCAAACATGGCTGTCACAATCACGGCAGCTCCAGGGCTGTACAAACCGCCACAGCAAGAGGTGGGAGGACGCATACAAATGTATGCCTTTAATCCCTCAGAGCACAGCGGTAACTATATGCACCACCCGCACTAACATTCTGCCCACAGAGTGCATCTGTGTGTTCCGTACAGTTCTCACAGTAAACAGCGACTGTTTCCCTAAACAGCATTAACCGGCTGGGCTTTGTAGCGGAGACGTAATGTTTCCTGTGAGGTACGGACTGAATTCTTATATATACTGCATTGTGCCCACAGAGTGTATCTGTGTGTTCCGTACAGTTCTCACAATAAACAGCGGCTGTTTCCCTACACAGCAGTAACCGGCTGGGCTTTGTAGAGGAGACGTAATGTTTCCTGTGGGCACGGACTTATGTTATGCAGACGATTATGAGGGTTGAGATGGCTCGGATTTTTTTTAATCCGATCATATATTCTATCTTTACCAGAAGGACAAGCGGGCACTGCCTGGGAACCTTCAAAATCGGAGATATAGTTTCTTACTCCCCCC